TTGCCTCCTAGTTCTTTCCTCTATTTCCTTTTACTTTCCTCTTGTCTCCCTATCATGCTCAACCTTCATTTGGGTTTCAGTCATTCCTCTTGGTTACATTGCCTTTGATCAAGCTCTACCAGGCCTCTTACACCCTCCTCGCCACTGGTTTTGGATCACTTGTTGTTCCCTTGTCCCTGGGTTTGTTAACACCCCTTCCTTTCCCCCACCTCCCCCTGTGCCATGTCCCCCCGGGACCGTTGGTCCTGGTGTTTTCTCCTTTAAATTGTTTATCCGGCCTATCTTAACTAGATAGACCTGCACAGATAATATGCACAAAAACAGGACAGCAAAACAAAGCCACAAAAGAAAACAAAACAACAACAAAAAGCCAATAATTTAAAAAAAAAGAAAAAAGAAATACCTGTAAATAGTTCAAGGTCTGTTTGTTGACCTTTAGGGGTATTTTCCTGTCCAGTCTGATGGGGTGCCATGCCCTGGCCCCAAAGTCTATTTTTGGTACTCCCTCATGACTTCATTGCTCTGCTCCACTTGCTGTTCTGTTGCACACCTATTAGTGTTTTGCCTCGGGGTGGTAGGATCAGATCGGGAGCAGTTCCCACACTCTCTCCCCAAGGGAGTTGTTCTTTTCTTTGTTCTTGTATTAGTTCATCTGTTCAACAAAATTCACTGAACCCAGGCTATGGGCCAAGCTCTCCTCTGGGCATTGGGCATAGAGCCAACTGAAAGCCCTCTCTCTTGGGAGTTTACCGTACAGTCAGGGAGGGTTACAATAAACTAGATAAGTAAATAAACTGTATGAGTAGAGTCTGTTAGTCGTTTTACAATGGATAAGGAAAGACTGAAGAAGAATTAATGCCTTTGAATTATGACCCGCTTTCTCAAATGGCACCTTTGGACCCTTGGCTTCTGAACCTCAGCTACCATAAGTCTACACACTTTTGAGAAGCAGCTTACTGACAGTCAAAACTCCCTCAGAACTGTCCCCTGAATGGTGGGCTGGGACTACCATAATTGTACTATCTCAGTGCTTTCCTATAGCATCAGGTAGACTTGGTTCTATTAATATTATTAAAAGTCTTCCCATCTCATTAACCCTCATTGTTTGTGTAAATAGTGTCCAGCCACTTAAGAGGCTAATCTGTATGAGTCAACAATTATAGCTGGCCTGTACTTATATAATTTTCTAAACTGTGCTCCAAATTCCATACCATTGGCTAAGTTAGTAACACTATCAATAGAGTCATCATATGCCTCAGGGAGATCATTAATAATGTTCTTTAACATAAAATGGCAATGGTGTCTCTTAGGCGAACCAGAGACATATATAAGCCATAGATATATGAATGGATTTGGGGCTCACACTTCATTAGCCCCAATCTCAGAACAATTCTTATGAATGGACCTGCTTGCTGCTTGCCTTCATGAAGAGAAAGA